GTTGAACTTTATCCTGTGTTTTAGAAAGTGGTCTGTCCTTGAGGTGGAAATTCCAGGTGATGCAGATTACAGCTGGTTGAAAAAAAAATCCCTTAGAAGAAATCTTAAATGAACATATCTGAGTCCCTTTTTCTTCATCTGAGATTGAGAACTGAAAGTCTCAAGCTATTGCATAAGAGTTTCAACCAATCTTAAATACAAGAGCATGGGGATTGGGTGTTAAGTACCTAATCTTTAACTGATAACATTTTTTGCAAAAGAAGGATAATATTAAACATACCTTTAAAAAAATTCAAATGTGGGGAAAGGAATGAACATTTTCTAAATATCTTTCCACAAAGTTATCAATCACTGCAAAAAGGAAAACTTCCACTAAAGAAAACCTTGTTATCTGTTGGGAAAAAAAACAACTAAAAAAAAACCCTCTGACAGATTGTTTTAGTAGTTAATTATTCTCATTTATGATTTATGTTTAAATTTAATTTTTTTATCACCAACTGCCAGACAATCATTCTCTTTGCTTCAGAGTCAGTGAACCTCTTCTATCAGGCTCTGTAGGTGCTGTTTCAGATTGTAATCAAGTCATATTTAAGTTTCTTTTGTTTTAGCAACCACCATTCTAAATCCAGTCTTTAACCAGACCAAAAAAAAAAAAAAGAAAAAAAAGAAAAAAAAATTAAAAATGTCAATTCTTCTCTTCAAAGGAGATTAAATGTGGTTTTGAGAATTGTAGTCAAGGAATCAGTGAACAATTTGCTGAGGTTCTTTTGGCACCATTTCCCTAATATCTGTTTATAATTATCTTCAGTTTTAAAGCAAGCACTTCTCTGTGTAGAGAATATAATAATGTAATTCTTAATCTGCACTTAAAATATCTGTTTACTCAGTCGCCAGAGTGACGGTACCACACTTAGAAGATGAACTAAACCTTTCATTATCTTTAATAAAACAAGAATCTGTTTAAAGAAGACTTATTGTGGTGTCTCACTGCGCTTTGGAAGGAAACAAAAGAAAAAAAGATAATTTCTTAAAGTAAGTTTGACAGGAAAAACATGTTCAGCAAAGAAGTGTCTCTTATTTAAAGAGCTCAAATTCTGAACAGACTGCTACTAGTATTTGCAGATTTAATTTTCTGACGTTTCTCATTCTTCTATAAATATCAAAGGTGTCTCCTTTAAATACTATTTCAAACTGGTTATAAGAAAAACTTTGTCTCTTGTAACTCATGAGTTAGGGAAAAAAAACACTTAATCAAACTGCTTCTGTTCTGCTTTTCTTTTTAACTCCTGTTTCATGCTGGGATTACAGGAGAGATGAAAAGCAGAATTCCTTCCTGCAGCATCATTTCTATGCTTTATAGAAATATAGAATTATACTTGCTATATACTATATATATATATATTCTACTATATATAGAATATATATATTATAGAACTGAGATAGCAAAAAATTTTCACTTGGCTTGTGTGTGCAGCTTTGCCTTGCTTGTTAAATTGTCTTTTATCCTTTTTTCTCGATTTTTCTCTTCTGATTTGCTTCTCCTTCCATCCCACTGTGGGTGGATGGAGTTGGGAGTAAGAGGAGGGCTGGTGAGTTGTTGGTTACTCATGTAGCTGATGAGAGAGCTCATGGAGACTGCTTTGCCATCCTCTGACTCTGCAATTGGCCTTGCCATGCTCTGTGAGCCCACACAAGAAGTGAAATCCATTAATAACTCAGATTAAACAGCCCAACCTCTCTCCCTGTGGGATGCTGAGACCTGGCCATGCCAAATTCCTGCCACTCACCCTCACCTGGGCAGTCAGAGCAAACAGCCCTGAGCAGGTTTGTCTCCTGCACCATGCCTTTTGCACAAAGCTGGTCAGAACTTCAGCACCAAACAAGTGTGGACTGGTTTGATTTGTAGCAGGGTAATCACTGATCTAATTTATTTAGAATCAGAATGTGGAGGATGCTGCAGTGAACAAGAGAGTTTGGTCTGAAACAATGAACAAGGAAGCATGTGAAACATTTTCTGAAATGTTTCAGAAAAACTGAAGCACATGTGAGAGAAATAGTTCAGTGCAGGGTGTTAAAATGTCCAATGGCAGTGCTAGAAGAACAGCAGTGCACACCACATACATTGCTTGTTTAAGACATTTACTGCTCTCTCATTTTACCTCACTGTCTTGTTGAAAATCAGTTTGCCCCTTGGGAGAGCTTGCCAAGGGTAAAACACTCCAAGTGCTGAGAGCATGGCCTCTCACTGTGACAGCACCCAGAGAAGCACTAAGAATCAAAATCCCATTTCTTCCTCTTGTGCAAAGTCTGTTACATAACTTTCCCCCTCACCCCTTCTCTGGCTGCTGAAAGTGATGATGTCCCACAAACCTACTGAATTTGCATCTTCCTGGGTTTGGCTATTTTTTTTTAATATTTTTAATATTTTGGGCGGCTTTTTTCAGGTTGTTTTTTTTGTTTTTTTTGGTTTTTTTGTGTGTGTGTGTGTTTTTTTTTTGTTTTTGGTTTTTGTTTTGTTTTTTTTTTTTTTTCCTGTCTCATTTGATTTATAGATTTGTAACACTATTAGAAGCCTCGCAGCCTTTTTACTGGAGGGCTCTGAACACATCTCTGGTTCTCATCCCTCAGTTCTCATAAAGGACTGTTCATGATAAGGCTGCAATGCCTTCTACCTCTGATAGTCTCACCAGTTCTGGAAATGCCCCTGTCCTTTTGCAAGAGATGATTTAGTATGGGTAATACATCAGATTCTGTCCTTTCTTAATTTATGTTTAAAAAAAATTCTTGCTCAATTGCTGAGTGCTGTATGCTTCTATATTCCTCTGTAATTTTTTTCCTGTGACCTAAACCATTCTGATACCATTCCAACTACCTGTTCCCTGGAAGAATTAATGTGTAAAACAGTACATCATCATTTACTCAATGGAAACTCCCAACAGGGAAGGAAATAGTTAATGCCTTCTGAATTCATGGAAAAAACCAAAAATTACATAGGGATTTTTTGGCCATAGGGAAATTATGGCCAAGAGGCTGGAAGTAGATCGAAGTTTTGCAGGTTTTGAAGTCACTTTAGGTTTTTTCTCTTTTCTCTAGCTTTACGATTTGGTTCTAATTTCTTTTTTGTTGTTGTTGATTTTTTTATACTTATTATTTATAATTTTTATTAAATATACACTAATTTACACATTACACTTACCTATTCATCTTTCTGAATCAAGTTTAAAACCCGTTCCTTCTTTCTTGAATATGCCCTCCCTCCCTTCAGTTTTGCAATCCCAAGTCGTTTGTGTTTGATATGTGAAAAATGCTTTATACCTGATTTTATACATGTACAATAAAACACAAATTATACCAACATATGTTACACCTGGGATCCAGAGCTGGCCTCTCCCTGCCCTGCTGGGAGCTGGGCGGCTGCTGCCCCGCTCCTGCTGCTTTGTTACGGCTATTCTAATATCTTCCTTTGAAAGTTATTAGTTCATGTTTAATTAAGTTAATAAATTTTCTATAAGTTATGCGGGGATTGTACTGGAATGTTGTCATGAGGGGTTTTAGCCAGTAGAGGCAGGTATGGAGAGAAGAGTTTGGGAACTTTATGGAAATTAAATACTAAGGAGGACATAATGGACTGATTGGAGGAGAATCCCAGAAATGAAAAGGACTTGACTTATTGAGAAATGATTGGTGTACAACGCTCTGTGATATGGATCAATAAGAGAGCCTGGATTTATCAAATCAAATCAAATCAAATGAAGAATCCCAAATTAACTGATCCAACTGATACCAAACTTATAAAAAGGGATAGGGACTAAGAGTCAGGGTCTTCGATGGAGCCAAACTCCTGAGGAACACCCAGCCATGTCAAGTTTGTAAAGGCTGTTGATTTAAGTTATCTGACTTGTCGAGTGGGCCGTGGGCTTATCTTGGGACCTCATCTCAAACTAGTGACATTTTTGTTTAATAACCGAGAATACACTTTCCAAAAAGTGTCAATCTCTGTTTATAAGAGCTTCTCACGGTTTTGGTTACACTGTAGCCGAGCAGCCCCCGCCTGCCGATCCCTCCTGCCGGCCAGCTCTGCTCTGTCCCCAACTCCCACAGGTGCACCGCCATCCGCTGCCCCGGGGTTTGTGAAGCAAAGCTTCTCTGCCATCCCTTCCCCTCAGGGCCGAGCCGCCATTACCGTGCGCCGCACAGGCCGGGGCCAAGGGGGCCTGCACCCACCCGGAGCTCCTCCTGGAGCCCAGCGGGCTCCAGCTCAGCGCGGCCCGGCAGCGGGGCATGGCTTAGGCTCAGCAAGGTGTGAGCAGCCACGGTCCGACCCTGCCTCAGCCGGGGTCCCGTGGCCTCCCGTCCCCACCCGGTCACTGCCGGGGCCGGCCCTGCCCCGCTAGGCCGAGCCTGTGCGAGTCAGCCTTTCTGGGACACAGGGCCAGAAAGACTTCAGCCCTGAAGCAGCAGGCTTGGAGTTCAAGCCTTGGGAAGCACTTGCCAAAGGCTTGATGGCAATTCATACGTTCATCAAGTCACCCCACTGAAAGTTATGTTTCTAGAATCTTCCCGGATCTCTCCCCCAATTGGTTGCAATTTGTTGCAGTATTTTGCATCCTTCTAACCCCAGTCTGTGTCTGGACCCATGCCCTCAGACTGCGCCCTCACACCTCCCCTAGATATTGTTGTGTCTGCCCCTAGTCCTGGTCTTTGCACTTTGCTCCTGCGCTGCGCAGGCTTTATGGGCCTCATCCCTACTTGATTTTCCTATTCCAGTTGGTTTTGGGGACTCCAGCGAACCCGCTCCTTTAATTTCCTCCTTGGTTGCCCAGGTGTCAGGGGACCCTGAAGCTTTAAGGATTGTTGCGGCCACTGTCAGCACGACTGCAAGGGCCGCAGTGCAGCGGGGCCCGGCCCGACCGGCAGCCGGGTACCTCCTCAAAGGTGGAAGCAAGAGAGAGATTTCCCAGGCTTGCCTGTCTACAAAACGTCAATCTCACAGAGGTGGATCCAGCTTTTTAAATGCTTTAATAGGTAGTCACTTCCCACAGCTAGCCAGCTCTGGGATTTTGCTTGGCACAGAGGCAGCTCTCGCTTAGCAGCTCCTCTCAGTAAAATCATTTCCATGGGGGGCTTCTTCCCTCCTCACCAAATAGCAGCACAAACTGTTCTTCCTGTCCTCCTATCTTTGCCAGAGAGCGCCTTTCAAAGGGATAACAATTGGGAGGGAGGGAGTTTACATTTTCCATTGCAAAGAAGCCTCCTGCCTCCCTTAGCAGGCCCCTGTCTTTCAAACAAAGACACACACGGGATCCTTTTGCACCTTCACTTGGCCACAGCCGCTCCTGATCATTTGAAGGAGAGGCTCAGAAGAAGGGGCAGTGAGCCCCCAAGGCCTGGGCTGCTCCAGGCCACTCCCGGTGCCTCGGGCTGTTGGAGGGGTGCCGGGGTGGCCTTTGTGACACAGGCACGGGGTGCCGGGGTGGCCTTTGTGACACAGGCACGGGGTGCCGAGGTGGCCTTTGTGACACAGGCACGGGGTGCTGGGGTGGCCTTTGTGACACAGGCACGGGGTGCTGGGGTGGCCTTTGTGACACAGGCACGGGGTGCCGGGGTGGCCTTTGTGACATAGGCACGATGCATCAGGGCCCTCGGTGATGCGAGACCTTGTGATGCCTGAAGTCCATTGTGACATGGCAGAGCCCCAACCCCGGCTGGGGGTATATAAAGGGTTTGTGGGGCTCGGGTCAGTCCCGGGAGAGCGGCTGTGTCCAGGTACCTGTGTGCGCCAGAGGACTGCAGACATGGAAGAGGAGAAGGCAAAGCCCAACTCCCAGCCCCCAGGCCCTGGCCCGGCTCACAGAGAGCCCAGACCTTGAGGGAGCAGCAGGATGAGGCTGAGGGGGCAAGCAGAGGGAGGAGAGGAGCCTTAGATGCAGACTCTCTCTTTGTGGAGTCCTGCGCTGAGGAAGAGCCAGAGCTCTGCCAAGGAGAAATGAACAAGTTCCAGCAAGGGAAGAAATGAACAAGTTCCAGCAAGGGACTCCAGGGGAAACCTGCACCGAGCAACAGCTGTCCCCAGGAGAAGCCCAGAGCTGCCAGGAGCTCTCTGACTGGGATGAAGGCCTTGAGCAAGAGCTGGACCAAGTATGGGGGAGCTACTGGCATTGCCGGGACTGGGATGAAGGCAGGGACCAAAAGCCCTCCCCAGTTGTCTCCGAGTGGGACGAGTGCAGAGAGCAGGAGCCGTGGCAGGCGGACAGTGATCACTGTCAGGAATTCTCAGACTGGGAACAATCTCCTGAGCAGCGGCTGTCCCCAGGAGAAGGCACGAGTCGCCGGGCACTCTCGGATTGGGATGCTTGCCGCAAGCAAGAGCTGTCCCAGGAAGCGGCCAGGAGGGACAAAGAAACCTCAGCCAGGCAGGAGTGCATTGGCCAGGAGGTGACTGGAGGCAAAGCAAAGAGAAAATCCTCCAGGTCCAGCTGGGATGACGACAGTGACCGAGAGCTGGCGCAGGACAGTGGGGAATGCAGTGACATCCTGAGCAGCCAGCTCCAGGCCTGGCAGCGGGAGGATGATGACTGGGATCAGGTGAGTGTCCTGGAGCCACACGAGGAAGGAGAAGAGGCCAGGCAGCAGAGACTGGCGGATTTAGCCCGAGAGGGAATCCTGCTGCCTGTTCCTCGAGAAGCTTGGGTGGAGTGCCAGGAGCCCGAGCTGTGCCCGCAAGAGCGGCTCTGTGCTGGGCCCGGCTCTCTGGCAGCCCAAGCCACGGTGGAAGATGTCTCTTCTCCTGGGCAGCCGCTTCCCCGCAGGAAAGGCCGCTGGCTCTTGAGGCGGGCGCTGTGGGGGCTGTGGGGGCTGTTCCGCTGCCCCTGGCTGGCGGCACAGCCGCAGG